GGATATTGGCCTGTAGTTTTCTATTCTTATTGTATCTTCATCTGGTGGTTTTTTATTAAATAACGAGTTGGGAATTGTTATCTGCCTATCTAAAATTTAGAGGAGATCTTATACTACCAGCATTATTTTCCCCATAAATGAATCATAGTATTCGACAGGGCAACCATCCAGGCCTAGGCTTTTTATCTTGAAAACTTTTAAATTAATAATTCAATTTCTTGTTATTTTTCTTTCAGGAGTTCCATTTCTTTTTGATTCAGCTTCAGTAATTACTCTCTTTCTAGGAATTTTTCTAATTAATGTAAGCTATATATATATATAGTGTCCCTTTATAATCCATTTTATTTCTCAAAGGCCAGTAGTAATCCTTCTGTTACTCTTAATTTTAGTAATTTGATTTTTTTTCACTCTCTCCCTCTTTTATTTTTACAAAATAATTAAAGGTCAATATTATTATTCTTTTCAAAGAATCCATTTTTGCTTTCATTGGTTTTCTCTATTGTTTTTCTGTTTTCTAGTTCATTGGTTTTCATCCTAATTTTCACTATTTTCTTCCTCGGGTTAGTTTTGGTTTAGCTTGTTCCTCCCCCACCGCCCCCCACCCCCACCCCAACCCAGTTTCCTAATTGGAAGATTGAGTTATTGATTTTTATATCTTTCATCTTTTCTAATATAGGCATTTATATATTTTTATATATTTATATATTATTTCCCTATAACACTCCTTTAGATTAATACTATAAATTTTGATATGTTGCATTTGCCTTTTCATTAAGTTAAAATATTTAAAAATATACATTGTGATTTACTGTTTGACCAATGGGTTCTCTATAAGTGTGTTAACTGGTTACCAAATATTTTCTAATTTTATTCTAATTCCAGTATAATTTCACTTTGCTCAGAAAATACTTTTTTTATGATTCCAGTTCTTATAAATATATTGAGATGTATTGAGACTTTTCTATGGACTAATTTATATGCTAACCTGGTGAATGTTCCATATTTACTTGTGATGAATTATTCTCTGGTACCACAGTGGAGTGTTCTATAGATGTAAGTTAATGTAACTGTTAGTCTTATTCATTCTTCTTATCATTACTGTTTTTCTGTTTAACTATTCAATCAATTATTGAGAATGGGCTATTGAAGTCTCCAACTTATTTGTTATATTATCACCTCCATTTAATTCTTTCAATTTATTGCTTTATGAATTTTGTGCTTTGTTTTCAGGTGTGTTTTTATTTGGAATTGCTTTATCTTCCTAATGAATTTACTATTGTTTTCATTATAAAACATACCTCTTTCTTTTTATTAACATTTTAAAAAATTCAAGTAAATTGTGACTCATATTAGTAAAGTCACGTTAGGACTATTATGGTTAATATTTTATAGTGGATCTTATTTCATTCCTTTACATTCATCAAGTTTGTGTACTTGAATCTAAAGTGTGAATAGTCCCACAACCATTAATGTTCAGTGTATCAGAGTTCTCTAGAAAATCAGAACCAATAGGATATCTATCTATCTATCTATCTATCTATCTATCTATCTATCTATCTATCTATCTATCTATATCTATTTACCTATCTATCATCTTTCTTTCTTTCTTTCTTTCTTTCTTTCTTTCTTTCTTTCTTTCTTTCTCTTTCTTTCTTTCTTCCTTTCTTTCTTTCTATCTATCTATATTTATTTGTATGAAAAGAGACATACAGATTATGATTTTTACAATAGCTTTATTAACTTGAAAGAATGTCACAATGGCACAGTGCACTTACTTTATTATAAAAATATTGGCTCACATGAATATGAAAGCCAGCAAGTCCAGAATTTATAGATGGAAAACCCAAGGCAGACTGCTAAAAAAATTCTCCCTCTATTTTTTAAAAATATGTTTTTATTGATTTCAGAGAGAGGGAGAGAGAGAGAGATAATCACATCAATGATGGGAGTGAATCATTGATTGGCTACCTCCTGCCTACTCCCTACTAGAGATTGAGCCTGCAATCCAGGCATGTGCCCTGACTGGGAATCGAATTGTGACCTCCTGGTTCATGGGTCGATGCTCTAACATTGAGCCACACTGGTTGGGCTAAAAAATTCCTCCTTATTTGGAGAAACTGGTCTTATTCTATGTAGACAGTCAACTGATAGGATGAGGCCTACCCATATTATGGATGACTGTGCTATGCAGTGAATCATAAAAACACATATGGTATCTGTCTTTGTGGAACCTATAGAACAGGGAGAGGGTGAAGCAGATATGGGGGACAAACAAACATGCTTAGGAAGTCAAGCACATTATGTTGAAAAAAAATGAGGTATTTTGAAATCCTATGAAGGGACCGGACTCATTATGAAACATCCAGGAAGTCTATTTTAAGAAAAAGCCATGTGAGTTGAGAGCTGACAGCTGAATAAGAATTAGTAGGAAAAGTGGGTTGAACAGAATATTCCAGGCAGATGGACGAAAGGACAAATGCAAAGAGAGAGTATGGTATTCTAAAAGTTGCAAGAAGTTCTAGGGGTTGAAGAAGAAAATGAATTGGGGAGAGTGAGTGAGTAATAATACCTTTATTTTTAAAATATATTTAATAATACCTTTATTTTTGCTAGGTAAAGAATGAACTAATATGAAGCAAGAATCAAAGTGGTGAAAGCCATTATTAGCTAACTATTAGACTGATCCAAGCAAAGGCTGAAGGTAGGTGAAACTGAGGGTGGAGTTATTAAGATAAGGCGGCAGTTTTGAGAGATATTTAGAAGGTGATATCAACAACACATGAAAAAGTATTAGCTATGATAGTGAGAAACTAGGGGTGATCAGGGTTAAATGCTACATTAATGACTTGTACAATTATACAAATTACTAGAGGCCCAGTGCACAAATTCATGCATGGGTGGGGTCCAACTAGCCTGACATCAATCAGGGTGGATCAGGGCCAGGCCTATAGGGAGGAGGAGATGGCAGGAAGTTGGCTGGCTGGCCCGCCCCAATCAGGGCCCGATCAGGATGGCTCCGACTGAGGGAGGGGCCGTGGGCGACTGGCTGGCCACCCCGCCCTCGATTGGGGTGGAAGAGGCTGATCAGGGGCAGGGCCAGCCAGGAGCAAGGGGATATGAGAGGTTGGCTGCTGGCCACAACTCCTGATCCAGCCGATTTGCTGGCTGCAGTGGGCATCATAGCGACTGGTCATTCTGGTCGTTATGGTGTTCCAGTCGCTGGCTTTTTATATATATAGATGGCTTTCCTCATTAAGATATGTAACCTTGGATAAGAAACAGTTTTGAAAGGAAGATTACCTACTTCCTTTCAAGAGGTGGGTTATCCAGCCTCATGTGCAGAATTATTAGTGGGTCTTTGTAAAGGTCTCCCTGCACATAAAAATAATGATTGCTGTCGACCTAGTGCTTAATTCTCTATTTAAGAATTAAAGTGAGAGCTTTAATTCCTTAGTTAATAACTTAGTCACCATCTGTCAAATGCTAAACACATAGGGACTACTTCCATTTAACCAGCAACTCTTTATTTATAACTGAGGTTGAATGTGCTTACTAGTTTAAAATGCTCTCCTGAGATTAGGTTATAATCAAGGAGAGTAAGGAATTAAAATAATAGTTTATGGCCCTGGCTTGGTGGTTCAGTTGATTGGAGCATCCTCCCATACATGAAAAGGATGTGGGTTTGATTCCTGGTCAGGGCACATACCTACGATTTGTGTTCAATCTCTGGTCAGGGTGCATACAGGAGGCAACTGATCGACGTTTCTCTCTCTCAAAAAAAAAAAATCAATAAAAACATATCCTTTGATGAGGATTTTAAAAAAAAGATGGCTTATGAAAGAAATACACATATATATGTAAATGCAGGCCTTTTCTTTATAACTTCAATGTCATCATTTTGGTTTTTATCCAGCATTATGGATAAATGACATAATTCTGAACTTTGAGTTTTCAAAAAGTCATATCAGTATCTCCATGCTCAGGGCACCCATAAATTTTATAATTATCCCTTCTTTATTTTAGTCCAAGTAATGCCATTATTAAAGAGAATAAATGTGAGTACATTAAAAAGTAATTTATTAACCACATTTATTAATCCTCATATTTCTTATTACAAACTGCCTAGACACAGAAAGTTTCACACTTGAACTTATTATGCTACATTGATTTAAAAGATATCATTTCCAATAAAAACTAAAAAACCTCAGAGAGTATTTTGGGAAAGGGAGCATTCTTTATTGATCTTGTGACATAAGACATATCAGTTCTCCTGTATCTCGTTTATACTTAAGTATGTCTCTATTAATAATGTAAAGTGTTTGATGGAAAGTGCTTCATAAATAGATTCTTCCAATTCTGAATCAATATCTTCACTTAATTTTTTCTCTGTTATTGATATTCAATGACAGAATAAAATTCTGTATGGATCAAGGACATTTTCTTACAAATATACCAGTGTTGGAAAGCTTACATTATATCATATGACTTTAGACTAAGAGCAAAAATAGATACCTTTTGCTATGTTTTTTAGTTCTCCCTCTACATCTCACCTTGCCTCTATTTTTTGTCTCCTAAACTCTCTTAAGGTTGACAACTGCTTATGCAACTGTTCTCTCAGAGACTTTTGTAAATATCATTGAGACACTTTTCAGGCTGTGAAAAATGCTTTGGGTGGTTGCCTAGCCTGGTCTCATTAATATGCATCTGCATTGCCCTCCTGTGACAGGCAGCAGAGAAAATACAGAGACAGGAGGGTGGGGGATTAAATTATGTGAATTTTCCTCTGGTGAAAAGAAGATGAATCAAATAACCACAGTGGTCTCTGAATGTCTATTTTTATTCCTCATTTTGGGAATTTCCCTAGCAGGTAAGGCAAACCAGAAAATATAGAAAATTTATTGACACTGAGGTCAATTTTTCACAGAGTGGGTATAAGATTTATTTACCCTTGATTTCTGAATAAGGGAATATTAAAAAAAAAAGAAAAGTACAGACCCCTCTCTTTCCTCGGAGGGAGGACTCCGCCGCGGCAGTGGGTGCTCGCAGCGCCGCCCGGGCCGTCACCATGGTGAAGCTGAGCAAAGAGGCCAAGCAGAGGCTGCAGCAGCTCTTCAAGGGCGGCCAGTTCGCCATCCGCTGGGGCTTTATCCCTCTCGTGATTTACCTGGGATTTAAGAGGGGTGCAGATCCTGGAATGCCTGAACCAACTGTTTTGAGCTTACTTTGGGGATAAAGGACTGTTTGGTCATCTGGATTTGGAAGCAATCAATGGACAGTAACAACATGGAAGGTGTGCCCTCTGGCTGGCATAAGAGATGGGACATCGTTCACACGTTCACCAATTGAATGGCACAGGGCTCTTCTCGGACGCATCTGTAGCAGAGTGGAGCCTCTACTGACTGATTTATGGGGGACTGGATCAAAATAAATATTTTTTAACAAAAAAAAAAAGAAAAAAAAAAAGAAAAAAAAAAGAAAAGTACAAGTACTTAAATACTTAAACATTAACTTTTGTTTAATGTTGAAGAAGATAATTGAAAAGCTTTACTGATTGGAAACTTCGGGCCTTACAGTTCATTGTACCCTTATCACGTATATTTGTTCTCATTCTTGATGTTAATATTAATTCCTTTCATAAATCGTTGCTTTTATCATAACTTACTTATTTAAAAAATTTTGGTTCTCATTAAATAGGTCTATTGAGTTTGGAAAGACAATTAGAAGAGCATTATATGGCTGAATTTTTCAAGGTAAATAAAGAGAAAAGTTGTATTAGAAACAAGATAGTGTAAGGGCTAGGAACAGAGACTATAATATTAATTGCGCTTCTACAAGACATACTCAGAGATCATTCTTAAATAATACTTTGTTGCTCAAAGCAACTGACTGTGGGTCCATCCTTGAGGAAAGGGAAACCAGATAAGACTGAGTCAAAGCGGCAGGGGTGGGCAAACTTTTTGACTCGAGGGCCACAATGGGTTCTTAAACTGGACCGGAGGGCCGGAACAAAAGCATGGATGGAGCGTTTGTGTGAACTAATATATGTTAATGCCGGGGTCCAACCCCAGCAGGTCCAGGGGTCCCCAAAGGTGTGGACGGAGTCAGCAAAGAAGGAATGACATGGAAGCAGCATTCAGTTGATCAGCAGCCTAGCCAGGATCTCCAGCCAGGCAGGATCTCCAGCCAAGTTCTGGTCTGGATCTCCAGAGAGGTTCTGCTTCATATCTCCAGCCAGGTTCTGTGTCCATGTTCTCTTGCTAGGTTCTCCAGGTTCTCCAGCCAGGTTCTGTAGCCATGTTCCCTCGCTAGGTTCTCCAGCCAGGTTCTGTCCAGGTTCTCCAGCCAGGTTCAGTCACCAGGTTCTAGTCAGGTTCTCTTGCCCATTTCTGTAGTCAGGTTCAGTCCAGGATCTTTTGCCATGTTCTCTCCAGCGAAGTTCTTCTGTCTCTAGTTCTGTGTAGGTTCTGTCTTCTAAGTTCTGTGTTCTAAGTTCTGTGTTCTAAGTTCTGTGTTCTAAGTTCTGTGTCTTGCTGTCTTGTTACATCTGTATTTATACCAGTTGATTCAATCCTATCAATCTCTATTCCAAAGGTTAGGGCGTTTCTTATCTCCATTCCAGGGAGTAAAGATTATGTAGCTTAAGCATGATTGTTCATAGTTAAAGTGATTAATTACCCGCCTGGCACTTAGTTGAGGGGTTTTATTCCCTCCCTAACTTCAGGGGAAAATCCCTACCTGGGGAAACAATCTTTCTCAGAGACCTTGGTTAAAACACATAGTGCCAAGAAGGTGAGCAAACATATTAAGAACAGTATGCCATATATGCCAGGTCCCTTGAAACAGTAAGGATGGACCGGCTCCCGGCATGTTAACACTGCTGCTGGTGAAGGAGCGGAGGGGAGAGCAAGAGAACCCTCCACTCTTTCGGCTCTGCGGGCCGGATAGAACAGCCGAACGGGCCGGATCCGGCCCGCAGGCCGTAGTTTGCCCACGGCTGGTAGGGATAAGATCTCCACAGAAATCAAGGGCTATTCTTTGTACCTATATACTAGGTGTACCGGTTAATAATTCGGATTTTGTAATCAAAGAAAACATCATAATTTCAAGAGAAACATCAAAAGTGCTTTATTCAAAGTAATGTCCATTGCTAGCTGCACATTTCCCCCATCTTTCAGGTAATTTGTGGATACCATCCCAACAGAACTTCTCTTGTTTTGAGGCAAACCATTCAGAGACCCAATTTTCCACTTCTTCATATGTTTTGAAGTGCTGCTCAGAAAGTGCGTGTGCCATCGATCGGAACAAGTGGTAATCTGAAGGAGCAAGGTCTGGTGAATGCAGCGGGTGGGTTAATACTTCCCAGGCCAGATCTTTTAATGTGTCTTTAACTGGTTTTGAAGTGTGTGATGGTGCGTTATCATGAAGCAAAATTACTTTGCCGTGTCTTCTGGCCCATTCTGGTCGTTTTATGATCAAAGCGTGGTTCAAATTGATTATTTGTTGTCAGTAGTGATCAGTATTAACGGTTCACCTGGTTTTAGAAGCTCATAATACACCACACTTTCCTGATCCCACCAAAGGCAGAGTGTTGTCTTCTACCGAAGCGATTTGGCCTTGCAGTCGATGTTGATGGTTGACCTGGATCAATCCATGATTTTGTGCATTTGGGATTCTCAAAATCAATCCACTTTTCATCGCCAGTCACAATTCAATGCAAAAAAGACTTTCTTTTGTGCTGTTGAAGCAACATTTTACTGATGACTTTTCCGTTTTCCATTTGTCTTTCGTTCAGTTGATGTGGCACCCATTTTCCTTCCTTTAAAATCTTTCCCATTGCTTGTAAACGATCAGAAATTGTTTGCTGAGCAACATTTAATCCTTCTGCAAGTTGTTTTTGAGTTTGACATGCGTCTTCATCCAATAATGCGTGTAATTGTTGGTCTTCAAACGTTTTTGGTTGACCTGGACGTTCTTTGTCTTTCACATCGAAATCATCACTTTTAAAGCGTTTAAACCAGCGTTCACAAGTATCTTGAAATGGAGCATGTTCACCATAAGCTTCCCGAAGTATTCAGCAGCACTTTTCTTCAAAATAAAGTAATATATTAAAACTTCCCGCAAATGCTTTTTTTTTGGCATGAAATTTGACAGTTTTAAGTGTAAAAATATCTATGATGTTAACACCTTCAGAAAATTTGACATATGAAGTTTTGAAGCTTGTTGTCAATACAACAAAATAGCATACATATCAAATTGCATATACATATATCAACATATGTGTAACTCCATCTATTGAAAAAAATCTGCATTATTAACTGGTGCACCTAGTACCATCCATCTTTCTATCTGTCCATCCATTCATTATCTACTTATTAATAATTGTTCTATCAACTATGTGATGGAATCCATTATTTAAAAGAACTAAGGGACACAAAATGTAAAATAGATCCAAATTGTCAAGATAGCGCCTCAGGATTCTTGTGTTCTAACTTCAAGGATTCCTCTATACTTGGCTTTCCTGGCATCTTTTCTGTTCAGAAAGACCATGCAGAATTACATAGAACTCGGTAACTATTGTTCAGAGTCATTTCTGTAATATGAAAACCCATTACTGACTTCTTCCCTATGTATTTAGAGTTAGGCTTTGAAAATTTTTGGTGGAGAAGCGAGAATGCTGTTCCTGTCTTTGTGGTTACATCTCTTCTGCCCACTTCTTTCTTTTCTGAATGGCTAGAAATTTCCTAGTTTGTAGTTGATGAGATATCCCCTCTTCCACTCCTACTATATATCCTGCTGAAATTTACTTATTCTTATTCATGTCAAAAGCTTCCGACGAATGACTACCGACGAATGACTATTGTCTTAATTTAACTGATCTCAGCTGCATGGAGGAAAGAAATCTTATTGTGTGAAATAAATTAAAACAAAATTATTACTGGCTTACTTTGTTTCCTATTCTGGAATATTTGCCTCTTAAAAATGCAATTCCTGAATCTTCCCTCATAATATTTATGTGAGATTGCAAATTGAATTTCAGGCATGGCAGTGTTTTAGATATATTTAAAATCTCACACCACAGGTGTTTGCCAATTCAATTTACTAATATGTGCAGCTTTGCTTTGACTTTACCATGTTTGCTCATAGGACCTACTATGGTGTTGTACTGCATATACTCAACAAATTCTTAAATTTTATCAATTATTTCTTTATGTCTAATAAGAGAGGCATGGGATCCAGGATCCTGCAGCTCAGTTACAAAACAAGGGTTCTTTTACCATTTACAGGTGAGAGGGAATAGAAGGAATGTATAAAATAAGATACATTAAAAGGGCCAGGGCATAGAAATCTATAACTTTGATATATTTTTAATATTGTTTTGGCTATGTAAGGCTCCTTTGAATTACACATAAGTTTCAAGACTGAATTTTCCATTTCAGCAAAAAAATAAAAAGAGAGGCATCACTGGAATTCTGATAGGTGGTATCTAGATTATTTGAAGGTGGTATTATCATCTCAACAATATTGTGTCTCAATCCATGAACATGGGATATCTTTTTATTTACAGATCTTCTTTAATGACTTTCAGCAATGGTTTATAGTTTTCACTGAACCAATTCTTCATTCCTTGGTTTCATTTATTCTTAATTACTTTATCCTTTTGAGTGCTACTGAAAATGGAATTGATTTATTAATTTTCTTTTCAAATTGTAGAGAAGCAAAACCAATTTTTACACGTTGATCTTTATCCTACAACTTTGTTGATTAATTCTAGTAGTTTTTTGGTGGGTTCTTTAGGATTGTCTCTATGTAAGATCATGTTATCTACAAATAGCACTTCCCCCATTTTTCTTTATTCATCTACTTTGATTTAAACTAAACATTTATGGAGATCCAGTTGGTGCCAATGGTAAAAGCAAGGCCTTTTCTTTCTCTTTTTTAAAATATGTTTTTATTAATTTTTAGAGAGAGAAAGGGGTAGGAATAGAGAGATAGAAACATCAGCCAATGAGAGAGGAACATCATCTATCAGCTGCCTCCTGCACGCCCAGACAGGTGCCCTGACAGGAATCAAACCAGTGACCTCTTGGTGCATGATGGGTCGACATTCAACTACTGAGCCACACTGGCTGGATGATCTTTTCCCCCTTAAAGCTCATTGCTGTAATCTCAACACCTAGTTTCATATTAGATGCATAAGAATATTTAATTAATATTCAAGATAATGAAGAAGGGATGAATGGAAATGATACATATAATGATAATCTTCGATTTTTAAGGTGGAGGTTATTGGAATAAAAGGATGTTAAGGAGAGAAGGGGCCATTCCAGTAGAGGCTCAGTGAGAAAATT